AACATTGGGGTTTATAAAAAAAATAACAGTAGTATCTACCTCGTCATCTAACATTAAAACTATAAAAAAAATAAATTTCCAGTAAGTTAAATTTAATGTGTAATTGTTATTGTTTGTAAGTCAGGACTTATGACTAAAATTTTATATTATAAAAATTTGTATTTAAATAAACTACACGCCATAAAATACGGATTGTGACTAGTTTACAATAAATATTATATTTAGAACATTATTTTACTTACACTAGTAGCTTTAAAAAGACTTTGAATTGATTTCTCCTGTGTTTTCTTTATTATTTTGTTTTACAACCTGGAACAAAGTAAATTTTGCTGAAATGTTTTTTGTTACTCGTGTTACTTGTACTTGGGTACTTTCTTCACAATATTTTAAATTTTTTCACCAAATAAAAAAGTGCCATACATGTAAAATAAACGTCACTAACGTACGACCCGCCAACTACAGTCAATTTGGCTAACTTTATAGAAATAACGACGAAAATTTGAAAGAAGAGTATCGTTTTAAATGGATGTTTTGGGTTTCCCATGATTTTTTTTTATATTTCAAAAACTTGAAAATCTAAGAGATGAAATCGAAAATTTGTTTTTATATTAAAAGTGTAAGCTTAAAATGAATTTCCATTGCGTAAAATTCTAAATTACGTCATATTTTGGATGTATACGGACGGCTAAAATTATTAATAAATAAAACATATTTAATGCAAGAAATCTCTTTAAAATGAAAAAAAAAATACTGTTATGTGAGCCATTTCATTATTCAGTCACGCTCTAACCCTACAAGTCCCTCTCTGTCTTATTTGGCCTTTGAGGCTCAACGTGTCCGATTATTATACATAATTAAACCCCTTAAGACCAAACCTATGGGACGAATATGGTGGAGACACTTTCGCGAACATTCCAGGGTCAACGAGATACTATTTCTAGAACGTGATAACGTTTCTGGTACATACTGGCAATTTTGGTGGGGGAGCATTCTAGACCACCAATTTGTATACAAATTGGTGGAGGAGAGCCATCAGAATCAAGTAGTTATATGGACAGTGCAGATAAATAGTAATTAGTAGATAGACAGTGGTGAATATAAATAGTGATCAGTTTAAAGACATTCGAAGTATATATAAATTAAAATAGTATTGTTTAAAATAAATAAGTGTTTAAATAAATTATTAATAAATAAACTGTTGTTTGAAAATAAACACAATACGTAAAATAAATCACTAATATTTTTAAAACTATTACATCAGTCTGAAAAGGCCCGAATATTTAACAATTTTTAACTTAAAAATCTAAGAACTGGAAAAGTTTGACATTTATTATGAAAATCTAAGTTGTTAAACCAAGTTTAAAATATGGCAACAACGCATGTCAACACAGAACCACAGTATACAGGGTGTCCCGAAATTAGACGGTCATATTTTAACAGCGTAATCTACATCCTAAAATAGGAGTAAAAGTTTATATAAACAAAGGTCCGAAAACGTTTCTTCTTCGAGATACAGGGTGTTAAAAGTGAAGTCCTGATGACACATTTTTGTAAATATTTTCTAAACGCTTAAAGATAACTAAATGAAATTTGATACAAATGCTAACCTTTTTACGCTCTATGTAATGGACTAAATCTTAGTTTTTGATTATCTTCATAGATGGGTAAATTATACTAATTTTTGTTTGCACTTTCGAATAAGATAATATGAATTTATCATGAAATTTTCAAATGCGTTTCTCTTGAAAATGGCGCGTCCTAGCGAGATGCAGCAAGAGTAGCTTTATTGTAAAGAAATTTTTTAGTCAAAAATGTTAAAAACTGACAACAAAAAAACTTAGGGCAATTTTACCTTAAGCCTCCCCCTAATTTACCCATCTATGAAGATGATCAAAAACTAAGATTAAGTCCATTACATAGAACGTAAAAAGGTAAGCATTTGTATTAAATTTAATTTAGTTATCTTTAAGCATTTAGAAAATATTTACAAAAATGTGTCATCAGGACTTCACTATAAACACCCTGTATCTCGGAAAAGAAACGTTTTCGGACCTATGTTTATATGAACTTTTACTCCTATTTTAGGATTTAGATTACGCTGTTAAAATATGACCGTCTAATTTCGGGACATCCTGTATATAGCTACTATAGCCTTATACTGTGACATATCTAAGACTTTTATGTTTTAAGATATTTTCTGGCTGGTCCTTAATTGGTGTAAAACATAGGCAACACTTTTTGCGACAAAGTTTGCAATTTAAAAGATAAATGAAGTATTAAAATGCCAAAAAATAAAATTAATAATAAATGTATAAAAACTATAAAATGATTTATTTATTTATTTATTTATTTATAATTGTCTACTAGTCTAACGCCACTATGTATTTTTCAAGGCTTTTGATAACCCAATTTTTTTTTAAACCGTATAAGCTATCAGTCTGAAATATTTCGTTTAATAATAAAATAAAAGCCATAATTTAAAATTGTATTCCTATAAACGTGTAATTTATGCATTTTTATTCATGCCTGTATTAATTTCAAACTGATAGCTTGTACCGTTTTCAAAGAAAATTGGGATTTCAAAAGCCTTGCAAAATACATAATAAAGTAGGCTTGTGTCAAAATATTAATCTAGAATAGAAAAACCTGTCTTTCTATTACCTATTGTATTTTATATATCCTTTTCACCTTTCTACTATTATAATGGCTCCAATAAAATGTTTCTGTTGTGATGATTATATCAATAAAAAGAGCACTTCGAAACCTGCCAATAATACGATTTACCGCAAATTTTTAATAAATATGAGGAGGATAAGACAAGTAGAATGGGTTGAACCAGCGGACCATTGTCGTATTTGCATTAATAAAATTGTATAATTTTTATTTTTGAAAATATTTTTTAAGAAAAACTGTATTACAACTTTTTACTTAATAATAGAACTTAATAATAGTAGAACTTACTTTAACTAAATTATGCATTCTAAATTAAAAAACATGTTTTCTCCCGCACTCTTCGCTAGGTGCGGGAATAGGGAAAAAATTTTCCGCACGTAGAGGGAAAGTTTGTCTTTCATAGTGAATAAAAGACAGTAAATAATTTATATATTTATTTAAATAATTTTTAAGGTAATCCAGAAATGATGAAAATATTAGAGGACGCTTAAAACTACCAAGCAATCAGTTGGTATGTTGTGTGTGTGGCGTTAATATTCGACGTGTTTTAAAGAGAGCAGCTTTACAATTATGGATGCAGTGCCGAATATTATGCCATCCAGAAAATCGATGCTGTCCAAATCACTTAGATAATGGAGTATTTTCTGACGAGACACTTGGACTGATTAGATTGCGAGCAACACCAAGATCTTTGAGTATACTTGAAAGTGAAGCACTCGTAAATCTCCTCACTGAGCGTGGTAGTGCGTTAGAGAAACAGTCAAATATGTTTGACTTCGATTCTCAATATATGGTAGATGAAGACTACATATGTTTGACTGGTCTCAATAGGACATAATTCAATGCTCTTGCCGAACGTAACGATGACATAAAATCTAGGAAAAACCTAGGCAAGAAAAACTGTATTGCACTTTTTCTTGTCAAATTAAGGGTTGATCTCAGTCAGAAAGTTTTAGGGATGATATTCGGCTTGAAACCAAAACAGCAACCTCGAGCTAGTGAGATTTTTCAAGATGTTTTGGTTTCATTAACCAATAATTTTGTACCGCGCGATCTTGGTTATGGGCATATAACTCGAGAAGATTACGCTCAACTACACAGTACCACAATTTCCAACAGACTTTGCCGTGTCCAAGCTGATTCTTTGGTAGTTTTGGTAGATGCTATAAAATAAATAAAACAGAAGTCTGGCAACGCCTAATTTTCTCAATAAATTTTTTAATACAAACTATTTTCAACTACATTAAAACGTAACAATTGAAAAATTACACCATTTTTAACATAATGGTTACTTTAGCAAGTGTTCAAAATGTGCTCCATTTGTAAGTTGACAGTACCCTAATCGATGATAGAATGCATCTACCACATTTCTCCGTGATTGTTTTATTTATTTAAGACCTTCCAGACTACATGTAAATCATATGTGTAACATATGGTTGAACTTGTATTGAATAGAAGATTCCAATAATTACTTAATATACAGGGTGATGAATTTGAAAAACCCAAGTGCCTAATAATATAAGAAAAACAGCAAATCTGGCAACATTGCAAATATCAAATCTGAAATCTCCGTATCCCAAAATAGGTGTACCCCAAATTTTGTACAATTAGGACTAGCAATTTACGAGATAATTGGCCGTTTCCAGACTTTTGGGCCACTCCGTATAAATTATAATAACTTGCAAGCTCGCTAACAAATGACAAATTAAAAATAATCATTATTCATTACTTACCTCGACAGTGTAGAACTAAAATTCTGATACCTGATACGTTTTTTATTAACTGTATCCTGTATCTCAATACTGGCAGGACCTACTAAAGCTTTTATTTAACGTTAAAATAAACACTAGATTTAGGACGAATTGTGTTTTATGTTTTGGTTAATAAGTTTATATTTATCTGTGGATTACATGTACAAATTGTGAAACACATATTAACTTGATAAACATGTGCCACCAGTCAAATATCAGCCCACTTGACAGCCGGCCGCCATGTTGTCGAATCCTCCTTGTCAGTGCTTGTAATTATGTCGAAAAAGATATTTCAAAGTATGTTCCAGGACGTTTCAAAGAAAAAAATTTTGGGAAATAGATTTTTTTTTAATATCGTTTAGTGAGAAAAATTTCGTACGGGATCGCAAAAAACCCAAAAAACGATACCCTCCTTTGACTATTGCCGATTCACTTCCTTCTTTCTAGTCTTCATAGTTTTACTAATAAATTTTATACAATATTTATTATAGGCTTGAAAATGGCTCTATAGCCAAAACTGGTCACCATTTTTATTAAAATATAGATTTTGAGCTTTATTTGTATTATATTTCTAAGGTTTATTGGACAGCTCCGCCAGAGGGCAGCGGGTGTGTAGCCTTAAAGGCTACGGTAGTGGAAAGTAGAGAAAATTGGTTTAGTGAAGATGGTCAACTAACGAAGGTTTTATGCGAAGACTCAGAAATAGACGAAAATGTAAAACCGCCTCTTGTGGATAAGTGCTGTGCTTGTTCTGAAGCCAAATATGAGGTAAAAATAATTTAGGATATATTCCACATTTCTCTATGTTCAAATAAGTTCACAATTCCCTGTGTTACTAGGCTCAGTTACAAAAAGTATCTATGTACAATTTAATTCTATATCTTTCTATTTACTTTTTTCTTGTAGAAGCACTGTTAATGTAGATAAAGGGATTAAAATATATCTTTTCTTTTCTTTAAAAATATTTTATAAAAACAAAATAACCATTTTTGCAATACAAATAACTGCCAATATATTTTCTGAAAATTTCGAATAAATGTACGTATTTAATTGTTCCGAATTTAAGATGGCATTCGAAGGACGCTGGACTAGAAACACTCATCCAAGAAATTATCCCTCCAATATTTGGAGCACCAAATTTAGCGACATAATAGGAGCGTCACATAGAAAATATCATTCATTCTGGAATGAACAGGATTACGCGTCAGAAGGATTGAAGGATTTAGCAGAAACTGGCCGAACACAAAGACTTGAATCAGAAATTAAGGTTATGGTAAGATATCTATTTAAATAATGAGTTTTAAATAATTCAGATATTTTTTAGGGCAACAACATTAGAACTATCATAAAAGCGAGAGGTTTACAACATCCAAACATCACAGACATATCATACGCGGTGTTTCGGGTAGATAGTAACAACCATTTAGTCTCGCTTGTGTCAAAAATTACGCCATCGCCTGATTGGTTTGTTGGAGTAGCAAATTTCGAGTTATGCAAAAGCGACTGCACTTGGGCCGAGTCCTACACTTATAATTTGTATCCCTTAGATGCTGGTACTGATGACGGGCTCGGGTACTTGGTGAGATAGAAAACGCTTGCTAAATTAGGTTTAATTTTGTTAATACATGATAATAATTTTTCAGTCTTCAGAACCTCTACACTTTTCCCATAAAGTAATCATGCCAATCACTCAAAATAACCCCAATAACCCCCAGTCTCCTTTTTACGATGAAGACGGAAACCCAATGAATCCTATTGCCAAGATTCATTTTATTAGACAACGTTTATACAACAATGATAGGTCGTGTAACCCCGATGATGACTCAGGTGATAGTGAAGATGACGATTGCGCTACAACCAAATGGGAAGATTGGACACCGTGCTCAGTACCTTGTGGTTTGGGACAAAAAACTAGGATGAGACATTATTTAAAACCTAGAAAAGCTCAGGACTGTTATGTACCTTTGGTGCAGCATCAAACTTGTCAGGGTAATACAATGAATATAAAATGCATGAACTATCTTTATGATATCGATATTAATTATTTACAGGTAAAGCTAAATATTGCCATAATAGAAGACCACAAGATTCTGAAGGCGAAGAAAAGTCTGAACAAGAGAAGGATTTTAACGAAGAAGGGGAAAAAGTTTCTACTGAAGACGAAAACGGTTCCGAAGGCAAGAACTCTGAAGAGAAAGGTGCTGACGAAGAAGTTCACAAGGAAAACGAACTTGAAGAAAACGAAACTGGAGAAGAAAAATCTGAAGAGCAGAAATCTGTAGAAGAATCTAAAGGAGATAAACGTTCAACGGAAGACCCTGATTGCGCAGTTGGAGAGTGGTCGGATTGGTCATCTTGTAGTGTTACTTGCGGTAGAGGTACCAAAACTAGGGATAGAAATTTACTGAATTCAGAAAATGAAGAGAAATGTGAAGATGTTGAGTTTCAAGAAAATGCGCCTTGTAAAGGAGATCAACGAAAGTGTGATGACGGGGTACATTTTTAAAATATTTACCTAATAAATAAATTTGACAAATAAAACCATATTTATTTCAGAATGAACCAAAATGTACGAATTCAAATTGGGGCCCTTGGTCAGCATGTAGTGTGTCCTGCGGAGCAGGCTTTAAAAGAAGATTACGTCTTCCTGATGAAAATAAAAGAAAATCTAGAAAAAGCGAGGAAGATGACAAGATGGATGAGGAAGAAGAAAATTGTTCTACATCTGAACTTGTGAAGTGCTATACAGAATGTACCGAAAGTAGGAAAAAACTTTAAAGACATTTCTATTATTTAGAGTTTTTACAAATTTTTATTAATAATTTTAAATTGTATTCTTTCTTTAAAGGTGATAAAGTTGGAGAAAGTTTAATTGTAGAACAAGGACCAGATGGCAGAGTTAGAAACTGTAAAGTAAGTGATTGGTCTATCTGGAGCAGGTGCCAAGTTCATAGACGTGGGCAGTCATGTGGAAAAGGATCTAAGAAGAGGTCCAGACAAATTTTGGTATGTGAAAGATAGTAGCTCATTTCTCACACTAGGATTGTAATATATTATTTTGTAATATTCTAGAGACATCCAGAAAATGGAGGACGTTCTTGTCCCAGAAAATTGTTTCAAACCCAAACATGCACAGTACCTTGTAAATCCGATGAAGAGACCCAAAACAAACCAGCTTCAGAAGAGAATCCTGGTTTAAAGTGCATGATGTCCAGCTGGACAGATTTCACACCATGTAGTTCTATTTGTGGATCATCGGCTATGCAGCTAAAGACTAGAAAAATATTGTATAAGCCTCCAGGAGCAGTTTGTCCTTCTAGAGTCATGTACAAACCTTGCAATTTACCTTTAGCTTGTACTAGCGACGGTAGACCTATATTTATGTAAGACTTTTTTATATTTAAAAATTATATATTTTTTTAGATTTTTCGTGTATTATTTATTGTTTTATAAAAAAATCTTTTGGTACATAATTTTAAATCCTCAAATTTTGATAGAAAACATGCTTCTTAATTATTCTTCGCTGTTGTCCTACATGATTATTACACCATGTAGTATGCATGACTCATACTGTTTAGTACACAAAACTTCCAAGATCAAAACAATTTCTATATTATAACCAACTGCGATGTGTGATTGATTCATTGCATTATTTGTACTGTTCAGCGGCGTTTAACGAATTTTTTATGGTTTAAGGATGCCAAAAGTGTTATAAAAAAGTGATGAAAGGTGTAAGTGGACAAGAAATTTGAAAGTGAATTGGAAAGCGATAAAGAAGCTATGTTGGTTGTCAAGTTGTTTTACTTTTTTATTCCTTATAAAGGTGGGGTACTTAACACCAATAATTAAGATTGACTTCTGTCTCTTCCGAAAAATCTATGTACGTCCCAGCTAGCAGACACGTGATTTTTACGTGAAATATACGTCACATTTTACGTCGGAATCACCAATGTATGACGTGCTGGTGACGTAATTATGATGGCAATATGTCACAGATCAAAGACGTCATACAGAGACGTGATAAATACGTCACCAGACGTCAAAAAAATACCATAATACTCATGTAACCACTCGGATGTTTCACTTATCGCTAGGTTAGGACCACCCTGTCATGACTCAAGAGTGCTACTCATATTTCGTAGAACAATACGTCGGTCTGCAGCGCTAATCTTGACATCCTTCGCAAATATGCGTATATTCAACGTTGCGAAGGGGTCACTTGCGCATACTTTCCTAAAATGAGATTCTTGAGACCCCTTCGCAATAACTTGCAACAAACGATCTTGGTTAGAGGGTAACACGATTAATAATTGCAGGCAAACATAACTTTATATAGGTACGTAAACTATTTAAATGTACATACCATTTCTTAGGTAAAATTTCTCATCGATTATATTAAATTAACTGGTTAATCCATTTTTCCGATTCAGACTTTTAAAGTGAAAAACCTTTTGTCTCTTTATATTTATCAAATTTTTATTGTACATTTCCATTTCCATAATGTAGTTACCTCATCAGAACAATAAAATTTTTTCTTTTAGCGTGTTTTGTGGTAAAAAATTACAAATTTTTTGCTTACTTCTTACTTTATAGTATTTACAATTGGGTACAAAATAGACCATTTTGAATTAGTCTTAGGCACTATAACAAAATATAAACAAATTATACAGTCGTAAATTTTTATGATATGTAAACAACATAACCTTAAAAAGTTTTTATTTACCTTGCCGTTTTCGGGAACAGTCGTTAAATTGACAGACATCCTTCCAATTTATTAAAGTTATAGTTCTCAATTAAACACATTTTTTTAAATGATCACAAATAATAAAATATTCTTAATTTTATTAAAACCGTTTCATATGACGGGAAACGAAATGACAGTTTGTTTTATTTGGTACATGGTTGCCAGAATATGTTTCTGTTATGTACCAGATTTGTCTAAAAAAATGTACCACATTCCTTAAATGTATCAGATTTTTCGAATTCTATTTGCAGTGACATCTAATTCATTGAAGGGGAAAAAAGGGGGTCTTTATTGATAACGAACCCAAACAAGGAACACAATATACCTATATATTTTACAGGTGAACACGCAGAATGTACTACATCTAGTACAATTGTGAATTGTACTAGACTGGCAACACTGGTTTTGGCAACCTTGTTTGTAAGCGGCGCGCCAATTATTGGGTTCTTTGACAGTTTGAAGAATCTGTTGGCGTATTTCCTTCTCTTTTTAGCTATATGCATTCGCCATATCGTCTCACTCGTGTTAGGCTCACTCATCATAATGCGCCACAGACACAGTATACTAAGGTATACTGTGTCACAGAGATGCAATCAGCCAGAGGACAATGATGTACCAAAAAAATATAGATTAACACGTATGAAAATAAAAATATTAAAATTAAATTTATATTTTTATGTGATTTATGTAATTTTAAAATAATGTGTTTTCATGAAATTTAACTGGGTGTTCACTGCACAAATGAACCAATGGAGAAACTGCCCCTGGTCTACAGTCTCACTTTGGCCACGTTACAATTATATTAAAATGACATGCTGAATGACAGCATAATAATTTTTTCTATCATCTAATGACAGTTTTCATAATTTGTGCGATTGTATTAAATTTTAAAAAGTATATCGAGTGAGCCCAAAAAAAATAGAACCGCTAATGCTTCCATGGAGCAAAAAAGCTGCTTCTGGAATTTGTAAAAAAAATTCCCCAATTAGTTTCTGGGAAATTTTTAAATACTTTCCTAGAAGATGCCCAAAATCTCTGGCAGACAATTTCAAATATTTTAAATAGCTGTGAAAATGGGGCCAGTAAAGATTGGAAATCTTGGAGGAAGGAAATAATTTATATTAGAAATGGATTTTAAATTTTAAAATATGTTATCATCTTTTTACAGACATGGCAGGATATTAGATCCAGAACAAACTCCAAAAATTCGAAACACAGAAAATATGAAGGGGGCACTGGAGGTTGACCGTTTGCAACTTTTCCACTGATGGATACGAAAAGGAAGTATTGGAGACAATAAATCCAGTAATATTAGAAGGGGACATGAATATTGCTGAATCAGCTGCTGATTTTACAATTCATGATGATGATGATAAAAATAAAAATGAGCCTGTTGACAGAGATGAGGAAACTCCTAGCACATCAAATGGTGTAAACGAAAATGTCGAAATTTCAAGCAGAACAATGAAGGCGTACCCTCGAGCACCGAGAAAAAAGTTAGTACATGCATCTGAAGCAGCAGAAAATTATAAGAAATCTCTAGAAAAAAAAATCAAATTGAAGAAAATTACTATGAAAAAAAATCAAGATTTTGGAAAGATCAACAGCTGCTGAAGAAAGAATAACCTGTGCAAAAGAGAGAGCAGCTACTGCAAAAGAGAGAGTAGCTGCTGTAATTATTATTATACAAGGTTTCAAAATTTTCAAATTTAGGAACATAAGCAACAGCTTCTTCTAGCGACTCTGGCTTTTTCAAATGCATATTATTTTTTAATGTTCCCGTACATCCTGCAACGAATGTATTTAGAGCAGTTTTAGCATAATGATTACTTTGAATTTGTTTTTCCATTGGGGTTAAATTTGGATCATTACTTATTCTCTGAATAACACTACCTCTTAACAACTGTAATCTACTCGCAAAATTTATTAAATGTTCACCTTTTAGGGGTTTGCTACGCATCAATTCTTGCACTAAGCAATCTAAATCTCTTCGATCGGAGAAACATTGTAACAAAGCATTTTTTAAACCTATCCAAGTATTAATTTCAATTCTGTTTCCTACCATTATCTCAGCTTTTCCTACTAATTTTTCTTGGATACATTCTATTATGTGTGCATCCAATTCTGGGTCATTATATGTTCTATAAGTATCAATTAAACTTTCACATCTATTTATAAATTTATTTAATGAATTACTATCACCATCAAAAGTTTTTATGTTATCTATTTTGGACTTAAAAAGGTCCCAATTCACTTGTCTACGTTCAACTACTGGGGGTGTCATGATTAAATTACTTCCTACACTATCTGATTTATTATCTTGTAACGATATATTTGCAAATTGCTCAAACAAAGTATCAATTTCTGATTCACTCATAAAATATAATCAAAATAAAATATAAAATAGTTTCAAAATTATATTTTAAACTGGCTCGAAAAAAATTAAGACTTACAGAAGAAAGTTAATATCTGTTTGCAATATTATAATTTATTTATTGAAAACTTTATTTGCTTAGCGCATTGAAAGCTAGGAGAAAAATTTAAAAATTCAAATAGTAAAAACTTAGTTATTTATTTATGGCGTTTTGATGAATGTTGGGTTGACATCTGCACACAGAACTATTGAACAGAATGTATTAATTTCCAACTTACTTTTGAGGAATAACTTTATTTTTTTCGACTATTGGAAAGTATGGAGAACTTTCCTTTCTTGAAAGTTTCGAATAGTAAAGAAAAGTCAAATAAAAAATATTGTTAATATATTTGAAAACCTAAAATATTTGTATTTCAAAGTGAAAAATATTCAACAAAAATAAATGTCTGAAAAATATATATCCATTTAATTAAAAACCATTCAGGAAAAAAGTAAATAAAACAAATAAATAACAATTGAATAATTTATTTTTTATAGACACTTAAATCAAACGAAATTTAAAAAAAATATGTACAACTAATTTAAAAGTGAGTATTGTGTGTATCAACTTTAAGGGTATTAAAATTAAATTGTAATATAATTTCTTACATTTATGTGGGTAATTTTTTGTACGACATAAAAATATAATAAATATGAGTATATTTTTCCATCCGTTTTGATATGTACAGAGTGATAGTGATTTCGTTTTGCAAAATATTAAATTTAACAAGTGCAACAACTCTAGCTATTCTGGTTTTCTACTAATCGTGCAAAACGTAAAAAATTTAATTATTTTTAGATCCAAATTTTAAAAAACGGTATTCGAAAACTTAAAAATATTTAAAAATTGCATTTAAAAAAACCATGGTATGAAAATTTATTCCATCAAATGTATTAGGTAGGTATAAACCCTTTCAAAATCAATATAAATAAATTGTTTAATTACTATAATGATTATTATATCAATCATTTTATTTCCTTATCAAAAAAGTATGTCCACCATATTTTACACGATAATAGAAACCATATTTTTCATTTAATATTTAAAACTTTCTCTTCATTTATTTCAACAAACATACAACATTAATTTTTTTGCGTAAACAAAAATATTTAATAGTAAGCATTTAAAATTTAAAAAACACTGTTCAATGAATTATAAATTTGATAAAACTTTTGCTAAGTATAAATAGATTTATTTAGCTTTTAAAAAGTAGAAAAATTAAATA